CGTGTGCTCTTCCGATCTGTTGTTACGACTTCATCAGCAGTTATATTAAAGGGACCTATTACATAAATTATGATGAAATTATACAAACATATTTAATATTATTTTTGAACAAAATAACATAGTCTTTAAAACAATTGTTATTATTTTTAAAATTATCAAATAATAAAACAATATAATATTTGACAATACTTATAAATTATATAGAGACATTTTTAGATTATACAGAGATAATTATTTAAATGTATAATATACAAATATTTTTTTATTTATGTATATATGTTTATTTAATTTAATTTTCAAAAAGCAGATTACAGTAATCTTTAAAGAAAGAATTACTTTAATCTGCTTTTTAAAAATTAAATGCAACTTAATCGACATACCGAATATAATTGATTTTGAACGTAAATAAAAACACATTTAACAAAATAAATCTTTGCTCAAGCACAAGCTATATATAGAACTTATTTATTATACCTTCATCATCAATCTTGAGTATACTTAGAGTACCATTCAGTTTTATGGTACCTTTTACAAATAGTCTCGGGATTACTGTGTCGACTTCTAAACGGAAAACGTTGTCAAGAAAATGCGCTCTGACATCATTAAAATGAGTCTTTGAGAAACCATTAACAGTAACATTTTTTATAGTAACTTCTGCATAAATGATGTCTGTATTAAATACAGCTTTCTCGTATTCGTAAAGCATTGGATCCAAAGGTGGAAAGTCAAATTCTGGAAGTCCTATCAACATTAATAAGTCAATATTCATATTTTAAAGCGTAACTTGATTAAAATTTTAATCTTTCTTTACTTGCTTTAAATGAAATCCAAACAATTTATAAATTTATATGGAAGTTTATATATTTATTGTAACATTTGTAATTGTTAACAGTAATGTAATATTGTGAGTGTAAAATAACACACATATTATATTTAAACAATATACGTAATATAAATTAATATAAATATTACAATTATAATAACAAAAACTTAAAAATTTTTGAAGAAAACGGTACCTTTTTCAACGAGTTGTGGCCATACATCTTCTAAAGCGTGTTTTAAACAGGCAAAATAATTAACGGAACCTCGCTTGCAGGTGACTACTGCTTAGAAATAGCAATAAAATCAAATTAATTAATAATAAAATTATAAAATTGCATAAATATTGTTTTATCGTATAATTCAAAAAATAAATCAAAATAGAATTTAAAAACTATGTTTGTATAAGTTATTATTAAATACCAATATCATTGTATCTATTATGTTTATATTGCAAAGATTGTGTTATAACTTATAAGATTGTTTTCTTAAGGTAATAAATGCTTG